CCCCAAAACCCCAAAACCCCATCATATGAATCTTTATAAGATTATAAAAGAATACTTAAAATTAATAAAGAAAAGATCATAAATGAATGAGAATGAAAAACAATTGCGTTTTCAATTAAGATTAGCCAATAAATTTTGATGAGGATGCTTTCCCACTGCCTTATAGTAATGAAAAGAGCTTTCTTTGATTTGTTTCAATTCGGTTCTCCAAGCCTAATTTCCTCTGTCAAACTGATTACATACAAAGGTGTCAAGCCTATATCCCAAAAGCTATCCTTTCTATTAATCAGTAGAGCAAAGAGTTTTCTTCTCATCAAGTATTAGGCAGGTCAATCCGAATAAGAAATAGAAGAAGTAATTTCTGAGTATTTAAGGATCACTTTCCTTGTCTGGAGAATTCTATGGTCTATATCCATTTCTTCTTAAGTCTAATCTACCAAACATGTAGCTTAATGCTCGAACTACTTGCAGATTTATGTTATTTTCACCTTCTTAATTCCTCTAAGGTCTCAATCCTTTTTCTACCAATTTTACCATGCCATTTCTTTATCTTAAACTTTAGAATATGAAAAAGTTTCCCATAAATACTTTGAATTTAAGACTGATATTAGTTTTATTGATTGCTTAGAGGCACCTTTATTAAACAAACTTATAGGTTATTGACCTACATAAATTTTCAAAATCCTCATGGTAAAGAATTTTCAAAGACTCATTAGCTTTGGCAAATATCAATCTTAGATCTCTTATAGTGAAAATTTTCCTCTGAGTTCTCTTTCTTAGCAATTTCCCAGAAATTCTACTAAGCAAAATAGACAGGACTTTTCTGAAGAAGCTTTAAAGTAGTTCAACTTCACTTTAATTTTGAAAAATACTTGTAAATGCACTTTTGAATCTTGACCTAAGAGCTTTAAATTAAGGACTCTTCCAAATATTTCTATCCATGCTTAGATTGTATGCTGCAAATGATTATCTATTATCTTATCTTCTAATGTAGTTCATCTACTTATAATTTGCTTGAAGGTAATTGGTTTTGTTTAATCTGAAATTATTTTTGATTGATTAATAAATTTTCAATTGCCCTTTTATACTTACTTTGGGGTTTTGGGGTTTTGGGGGTTTTGGGG